TAAATTCATTGTATAAGGAAATAGTATTACCTTTGTTGTACTTCCGCCGCCCAAATTTATTTATTTATTTATACAAAGCTTACATAATAATTAATTATTATCTAAACTAAATCAAACGCAGCGCTAGCAGCAGAGGCTTTCGGCTGGCTGGTTGAGTCAGATACGACGGAGTAGGTCTGTGCCCTTTAGAAATTTGTAAATTTTGGTAATATTTTTTCCTGTGGCGTCCATTAACAATAGGAGAGGGTCCTTGTTGTCGAAATGATGAAGTCTTTGAGAAGCAAGTTCTGGGCAGGATACACGCTGACTGTTGCTTGACAGAAGGGGCAGGTTTGGTCTGAAGAGGCGTTAGAGAAGTGACTGGCGAATTCTTGAGCTATATCCTGGGGATATAGARGATTGCCATGACAGGTGTTGAGGGAGTGGATTTGGGGATTAGAGGGTAAACCGGTGAGTGTTTYTATGTCAGCCCAGATTTTTTTAGGGTCGGATGACGCACTGATGCTGCTAGTAAATTTTTGAAAACAGTCGAGCTTAGCATATTTGATTTTCCGGCGAAATTGCGCGTTCAGCTTTTTGAATTGAATGAGAGTTGTGGTGGACCGGTTGCGTTTGAAGTTGTGCCACGCGTGTTGTTTGGCTTGCCTAAGGGACGCAATTTCGTTGTTCCACCATAGGGGGGCTGGCTTTACTGGTTCGGTTTAGGACAGAGGGATGGAGACGTTGGATGCACAGCGGATTGCTTTATGGATATTGGAGGTTTCTTGGTTGATGTTGGGAAGGATTTGGAATAGAAGTCGCATGCGCTTTCGAATTTGTTCCAATCCGCTCTRTCTGTTTTGAATTTGATCCTGGGAGAGAAGGGAATGGTGGGTCGGGATGTGAGAATTTTGATAAGGATCGGGAAATGATCGCTGCCGTGAAAGTCATCTATAAGGTGCCATGATGAGTTGTTGGAAAGGGAGGGAGAGGAAAGCGTAAGGTCAATGTGAGTAAAGGTTGACTCGGTTGAGAAGTGGGTGGGGGAGCCGTCGTTTAGTACGATGCAGTTGGAGG